TTGAATTGTCTGCACCTCTCGAATACTAATAAGCTGGCTGCGTATTAGTTGTTCTGGGCGGCCATATCTGAAACGTAATTGTCCCATCACGTGCTTCGCCTTTGAGTGCCTTCAACAATCGCTGGTTATTCTCCAGATTCGTGCATTTGTACGCCAAAGTTGTTTCCGTAAACGCGCAGAAGAATATTGGCCAATCCTCAGGTTGGCCTCCAAACTCGAATCGATCTGGTAATTTGCGTAGCAGGCATACATCGTTTCTGGGTATCGCCCATGCGAAGTTCCCAATTGCCTGCGTTAGCTCCAAAATGTTCACTGGTTGGTTCTCTTGTGCCGGCGTGTAGCTGAGCGTTGGCTGCGCAACAATATGGCGTCGAGCGGCTTGATGTTGTAGAACAGTTATCCATAACATTAGCTCGTTCTACCGTTTGCAACTGTGGTCCCACAAATTCCACTCAATGAAGAAGGCAATGCCTCACTCAAAGATGGCAATCTGTTCAAAATGGCAGTTCCACTCAAAATTTCAGTTTTACTTAAACTTACACTTGAATTTAGGTCTCCACTCATAATTGCAGTTTCACTCAAGCTACCACTCGACGATGGCTCTCCACACAAAAATGGCGGGAGGTTAGCTGTACCACCCACGCCAGCATTATTCAATTTAACGGGATCAGTAACTGTACTCACATGTGCTTGACCAGTTTTTGACCTCTGCAACTCGTGCTCTAGCGCAGCGACTCTCTTTATCAAATCCATGACTTGAGTACTTGAGAGTTGCGTGCTTGGAATTGGCGCTCCTGTCAATATGCTTGCAAGTGCACTCACTCCTGCGGCCACAGAGCCGGCAGGTTGTACACTTGTGCCCACATCCGCGGTGCTTGAGCTTTGTGGCGCGCTCACAGCGGGAACTTGCATTTGTGATACAGTGCTCACCATTCTACTTATCTGCTTCGGCTGCACCTCACTTGCCGTGGTAGTTATCTCCTGGCCATCGTTCAGTCTTTTCCTGGGTGACCGTTGTGTCATCCTATTCAGCTCGGAGATGATTCTACTATATTGTACGCTGGCTGCGTACCAATGGTAACTCCATTACTGGGGCGGAGGCCCTGCCTGTGCTGTGTCTGCAGTTTCTTACAATAAGAACTGCGAATAAAAGATCATGTCGCGTGCCAAACGAAGGTGGAGTTGCAATTTGAACACTGCAAGGTTTACGCCTGGCCCCTGGCCATGTTTCTCCGATGTTAATAGAGACATATATTCCCTCAGAATTTTATCGCAGTCTTCCCTCCTACGGCCTTCTAACTCACGACAATAATGAGCTTAACATTTAAGTAATGGCGGCAACAAGCCAAATACAATGTACATTCACAGGGCAAAAATACATACTTCAGAATATCCTTAATACTAAACAACCGATAACTTAATTCGTACCGCAACAGAAAGCATGCTGTGTCTGCTGCGCCCTAAAGAATCTGTTTAAAGCCATATTTCCAACGAGGGGAGTATGTTGGATTCTGCAGGAATGGCATCACCATTAGCAAAAACAAACAATTAAATTTAAATTTCATGCATTTAAAGAGGTTGCACATTTTGTTTATCAAAACAACTGTTCGTTGTAAACAAAGCTGGCATGCCGCTCTTGCACTTGCACCCGGGCAGTATGAATCGGAGCATTGTCATGTTGAAAATACTATTGCAAATCTCCAAAAATGTGTTTAAAATGGGAATAGCTGTAACAAAGTCATCATTATAAGTTTTAGCATTCATATTTGACATAAACACTTAAACTCGTATGGCCCATACCAGGAGATGGCTCACCATCACACCTCCATCTCGACTATGAAGCCGGTTCACTGGTGTTCTTCCTAACGTAGATAATGGAAGTAGTAGTTATATCGTGTGTGCGCTCGTGCAAAATTCAAGCGCATTTCCGAGCTACGCCAAGTGGAGACTTTTTCTATAATTTGAGTCTCTTTAAATGTGGAGCATTTGTTAACACTCGTTGTATGGTTGATGACCTCGCTGTAACGCCAACATTTTCCCTGATCTTTGCGGCAGAGTCAGGGGAGTTGGACGCTTCTCTTAAAATATCCTTTTGTCCTCATTGGAAATCACCCTATTATTACCACCATTAATATTTTTACAATATCCCGACATTTTTCGCAGGAATACGGATATAACTCTTCGGCTTCTAAGAATTCTTTTGGCTAAATTACACGTTGACTGACCTGCATCCTTGTAAGCTTCAATTTTTGCCTTTTCTTCCACGGATAATGATTTATCTCTAGCCATATTAATGGTAATAAAATATTTGAGCTGCAAAAAATTTTCAGTTAATAAACACCTTATACCGTGTTGTTGTTAAAAGCAAAATTATTTATATAATAGTTGACTTAGTTTTAAAACAGTTGCTAAAAACCATTGGCAACTCAACAGCAAGATTAAGCTGCGGTGGCGAAACAAGTCAAATTGGTTCCCTGAGCGAATGACTAAATCTTAATTGCGCTCTCGGTCTGCCCTAAACCAAACTTTCACTAGACTTTAAATTTGAGCATATCATACTATTGACTACGCAGACCTGCCTCAAAACGCCATAATGGTGGCTAAACGGTTTTGAAAGGTATATGCACTTACTGGCAGTGTGGACTTCAAACATTTCTTATAACGTTTTCGGCAGGTGCGCCTATATGGACATAACTGTTAGTTTCGCTTTCTAAATATAGAAATGTTAAAAAGTTTCGAAGAATTATGTGCCCTCATAACTTGTACTAGTTATTGTGATTTTCGTTTGGGTTTTAAATAATGTAAAAGGAAGGCGATGTTTTAGTAGTTTTAGAGCCATAAGGTTATAACGTACTGCGGCTTACGTGAGGGCTTTGACTTGATGAGAAGGTGCCTCTAGCCTGGAACTGGGCCATTATTAGATTCTACAGCCTCTGGACGAATACATAGCTTTTATTCAAACCACCTAAGAATAATAATAATAATTACAGTACTTAGCTATTTGAGAATGATGATCATCGTATCGGACACAATATACCAGAACGGAATTGGACGCGAAATTAAAAAACCAAAAATGACTTCTCACAGAATGTATGTAATTAGAATTTTATTAAAAGAGACAACAAATCAGAACACAAAAACATATCGAAACTATCAATATATACAGATATCTAACGTACATATGTACCACAATTATCAGAACGCCTCACGAACTCAGACTGCTACAACGAACAAGAAACCAAACCTATGTACTAATAGGTTTGGTTTTTAAAAATTATTCAATCATGCTTTGGCAAACATTCCAATGAATAATGAAATTTACAAAATGCGGGTTGCGCAGACAATAACAACAATAGCGTGTACATCCGCAAATGCAAACCAAAAACCTGGATAACCTAACAATGAATATTTATATTCTCCACGACAAGACGGACAGACATGGAAAATATATATTTTATTGTTTAATTTAGGTTAGTTTTAATGTTATTCGTTTATGGTCGCTTGATTACATGGCCCTGAAAGAGATTACCGATGTGCAGCCGAAATATATTTGAAAAATGTATACAGGAACAAAATTATGTTTAATTTTTGTTTTTAATAAGCCCCGGACCACTAGCCCCAAACTTATTTATATAAAATGGAAAGCGATTCCTTGAGTTAATTGCTGATGTTATCTTGACACATTTTATGGAAGTGTTCAAACTGTGTTTATCCGCTGTGACTAGTTTTGTAAAATTATCGGTCGATAACAATCTCTTATAAACTTCCGCTTGCGACCCTTACTTCCTTTCGATTTTAGCTGTGCTTGGAGAGGAACACTTCATCTTCAAACATCTGTAAATACTTTGCTATTATATTTTCATGTTGTAGGTGGATGAATTGTGTAACTTTTAAAGTTAATTAAAATTACCCTCGTTAGTTAAAAAATTTTAAATATGTTTAATTTCAGATAGAAAATGGGTCGTCGTCCAGCTAGATGGTATGTGTATATAACTTTTTACGATAAACATATTTTCTGCATAAGTTTTGTTTAATATATTTATATTAGTTACCGGTATTGTAAAAACAAGCCATATCCTAAGTCGCGGTTTTGTCGTGGTGTACCTGACCCGAAAATTCGAATTTTCGATTTAGGCAGGAAGAAGGCCACTGTTGAGGACTTTCCGCTATGTGTCCATTTGGTTTCCGATGAATATGAGCAATTGAGCAGTGAAGCCCTCGAAGCTGGCCGCATTTGCTGTAATAAGTATCTCGTGAAGTATTGTGGAAAGGATCAATTTCACATCCGAATGCGTTTGCATCCATTTCATGTCATTCGCATTAATAAAATGTTGTCTTGTGCTGGAGCTGATAGGCAAGTTTTTACTATACACACTGACGATCTCAAATGAGCGTTTTAATCAATTGCTCTTCATACATTTTGTAGGCTTCAAACTGGTATGAGAGGTGCTTTTGGTAAGCCGCAAGGCACTGTTGCTCGCGTCAGAATTGGTCAACCTATTATGTCAGTGCGTTCCAGTGACAGGTACAAGGCACAAGTTGTAGAAGCTTTGCGTCGCGCTAAGTTCAAATTTCCTGGTCGCCAAAAGGTATTCATGCAATATTTTTATATGCATTTGTAGAATAACTATGTATATTTAATGTCAATAGATCTACGTATCTAAAAAGTGGGGCTTTACCAAGTACGATCGGGAGCGCTATGAAGAACTCCGTGATGACAACCGCCTTGAACAGGATGGATGTAATGTTAAATACCGGCCAGAGCATGGTCCAATAGCCGCTTGGGAAAAGGCTCAGCGTGATGTTTATGCTTAAATCAATAATAAACATCAAAGGATAAATGTCCATACAGCATACATTTTTCTTGTTTAATGTGTCTGGATGATTTATATTTTATTTATTTTAGAAGCAATTTTGTGCTGTTAATTCGTTAGGAAGCGCAAAAATAACGAAAGGGACAAACCAAAGAATAAATTAAGAAGCGTGCTCTAGTCGGGAGTGATCGATTAGAAGATACCAAAGACAAATGTAAAAACAGCAAAATGAGTGACGCCAGTACATTTGAATGTGACGAAAAATTTCTAGTGGCTTTTTGCACGTCAAACGCCACGCCAGTTGAGGGTTTTCGTCTCGCTGAAGTCGTGGTGCAGACACGAGCAACGAAGTCTGTCGCTAGGCTGCCTTCGGCACATCTAGTCAATGCTAATTTGCGTCATTTCGTTTTCGAAGTGCATTGTTCGAAAAATGTTTTGTACGTACGATCGACGCTTAGTATTTTTTATCAATTCAAGGTATGTAAGATATATTACCTAAAATACAATTGTAAAATATAAGAACTTTCTATGACACAACATAGTATGCAATAACTATATTCATGCAAAGCCCATGTTAATTCCCTTTATCGGTCCGTATGTATCTCAGGATCTCAGCACCTATAAGAGCTAGAGACTCGACTTTGAACGTAGGTCCAAAGTGCTTTGATTTTAAGAGCTAGAGTCACCAAATTTTGACATGTAGCTTCTATAATAGTATATGCAGGTTGTTTCATTTTAAGCTATCGCCACACCTACCTACACCCCATAGTCATAGTCAATTTTAATGCAATTGTATTTTTGAGAATATACGAATATTGTATAGCACAAAGGAACTACAGCTATTTTCATTTTTTTTTTTTTTTAAGGTGAAAATGAATTGGAATGGCTATCGAGTAGAAGCGTTAGCAATTCATGTGGTCTGTTAGTAGTTCCATTCTATTGTGGAACCTACTTTTTTCTTCAATTTATTTTTATTACTGCTAAAGGAAATGAGGTCATAGCGCAAGCAAAATTTGTTGGTCGAAGAGGGATCAGAGTATCTCCTAGTCGAATACTCCCGACTACAGCATTGTCACTTGTTGTTCTCATCTCGCGTTACTTATCCTAATATATATAATGTCTTTATAGATACACCGAACTCAGCGTTGAGTTTTCGTAACAAATATTATCTTCTTTTATTACAACATACATACATACACATATGTACATGCAAAGCACATATGCACCCATGCCGCTGCTGCGCAGCAGATGTACTTCTTTATTTAGAGCCTCACTGCGAAATACTTTTTCTTAAAATATTATCCCTGTTTTTTTTGCTGAGAAAGAATTTAAATACAATGTACTTTATGGGTTCGAAGATATTTCCGGCTGCTAGATATATATATAAAAAATATGTGTGTACAAAAAGTTTCCATTCACACATGCTAGCGCTTAAGAACTCTTTCTAAAAATAATCATGTGAAATGTAACATTTTCGCTTCGACATTACCATTACTTTCAAAAATTTATATTACTTGTTACTTCGGAAGTAAAGAAATGCGATCGAAATTTGAGAAAAAATCAATTCGTGGGCATTGTTGCTTGTATATATATAAGTTAACAAGCAACCCTCCGGCCTAAGTGCTAAGCAACTGTGCGCTCACAATGCTGACACATCAGGATCTTTGGTGCAACGCTGTGGGATGGAGCTATTAGGAATGATGACCAGACACTTGCATATGTCGCAAGTGCTGAGTTATCATTATGACTATAGTGAGTCGGCTTGCCGACCATGAGTTTATAGCATGATACTTTTTCCGCTGCTTTAAGTTTCAATTTATTAATGTTTGGGAATTCAGTTTTGTATCAAGCGTATAACAAAAAGCATCGTCCGAATAAATGCACTAATCCGGCCTGGCCGAAATATATTTACATACATATATTGTTTTATTGCCACAACACAAGTCTGGCGATAGGAAAGCTTTTAGCATTCCCAGTGTAATCTTGATTAACCTGGAACCGGCTACCTGAAGATTAATCCACATCATTGACAGCAGCGGCGTCTGGACATCAATCGGAAGTCACTCAACAGTTCTGCAACGACGTCATACGGACACCGCCCGGTCAACATCGTAATTGGCGACTAACGGGATAAAATACACCAACAAACAGAAATTCACGTCCCATATAAGAACATGTGACGGTTTAGAGGAAATCGACTTTTTATATGGGAACGAGAGAAATTTAAATAAAAATTAGCAGCGTGAAAGTGAACATTTAATAGTTAATACATATTTGATATTGTTACTGATATTTGATACATACTTGTTATTTGATTTTGATTTCTGAATAATTGCGTTATTTGTGTTGCTATTTGTGAATAATCGGACAAAATACAAATGTAAAAAGTTTATTGTTTATCAACGTTATTATTATATAATATTTCTGCCGACTGTGCGTAACAATCGGCCGAACAATTTGGCAAGTTTTAAATACATCTCTCCGCTGATTGCTCATGAGCATGAGCATGGGCATATACATAGGCATATTAAAGCAGAATACGATAGCGACGAAAGGCAAGATGTAGGATACTGTCCCGAAACACAAAACCAAATAGAAACCAATAGAAACAGAAACAGACGCGACTAACAGCGTCCTTTTTGAGCAAGAACGTCGTTTTAAAGAAGAATTTCGTGTTAAGCTTATGGCCGTGAGAAATCAAGTTGACACCTTAAGACTAGAAACTCCAGGTGGAAGTGTGTCAGAAAGTAACCAGAGACCCAAATAATAAGTGTGAAGTGAGTCTAGACATTGTGAGTTTAGTCCCAACTTTAGACGATATAATGGTTGTTAAGCAAACTACGAGGACGTATCCATTTTACGAAATAAAGTTTGCGGAGCAGCAAGTTTTGTGCTAACATCGCACACTGCAGTACTTTTACGCAATTATCGCTGGATTGCACGTACGCCGACAAAACCTCCTTGCGTGTGCTCCGGCAGCAACTAGAACTGGTTAGGTAAGCTGATTTGGGACTAATAGCCCAATCACAAACAAAGTCGTCATGACTCATGACGAACAGGGAGCTTCTATACTCAATGCAGAACTTAGAGATGACGCCCTACACACCTTCGTGTGTGGTCTCAAGAGATCCTCGAAATCATAATTCCTTCCAGCACAGCCCATCCGCTTTAGCGTTGGCTCGCGAGGCTGAGAATAGCACCGAAAGAAGCATGTTTGCTGCTTCATATGCGAAGGCAATTGGAGAGAGAAGTCAGGCAGCCGACGGTAATATACAAGGAAACCGTTCACAGACTAAATAGGGAAAAGGCCAAGAAAGAAACCCGCATTTCGTCGGAGGACAGCCTCAAGGCAGACCGCATACGATCGAACCTGGTCCAAAACATAACGATAGGGAGACCCTAAGCCAGCACCAGGACCAGCCCATGGATGTCGATCCATCGCTGTCCAAGCTCAGACAATTGGGGAAAACCATAGAAAAACGCACGTCAGAGCGTATGACGGGCCAGAAACACCAGCACGTCAATATTGTGTCTCTGCAGGCCTCTAACCAAGAAGATCTAGAGTATTTGAAAAATGATAAGAATTTATATAAAAAAACAAGCTGAAATTGTTGGTGGCTTTTAAAAGTGAACGAATTTGAGGATTCTGTGCCCTTCGTGCTGAAAGGTTTGGTGTAGTTCGAAACTTACTAAAAGCTTCATATGGCTAAATTAAGCAACCGTGAAAAGCGAAGCGAATTCGCTTCCAGAGAGTTTGAGCTTTGACCTACACTAGACTGCGCCAACACCAAGCGCTTGGGGGCTTCATTTAACAGGCAGCCGTGCCAACTTGTGGATCGGCCTTTTGAATTTTCCGCCACCGGCCGTGGTCACTTTTGCCACCCTAACGACGCCGTCCTCTCCTGTTTGCACCGCCGGGTTGTAGATTACCCACGGCGATCGCTAAGTACTCTATACTTAATATAAAGCTAGAGCTGGCTTTGGCGACCTCTCGATATTTAAAATATTTTGTTGGCTGGCTCGAGGTCCGGGTTAGTTAAAATAAACAGTTGAAAACAATTTAAATTAATATTTTGCTTCCAATATATTTCGGTTGCACATCGGCAAACCGTTTTCAGGGCACTAACACCTACACTACACAATTAATTGAACATTTTACATACATTATTTCACACGATGCACTGACGTGGATATTGAAACTGAAACTGTTTATCATTAGGTGTCTGTACAAGTGAGCGCAATTTTTTGTGTCTTTCTTGTAGTTTAGTCGATTGTTGGTTGGTGTTTTAATTATGTATAGCATTTCCAACGTGTGTCTTTTGTTGTAGTGTTGTTCTTGTTGTAAGATTGTTGTTGCATCTAAAAAAACTGAAGCAACAAATTTTTAAAGAAATTCTATAAATATCGGAGACCCTCCGATTGGGAAAGATATTCTCTACATAGGCGAGAGTTGGAATTTTTAAACAAATTTCTCTATAACCAATATATACAACATATCGAGGATGGGATTAAGACTTGCTTTGTCAATTCGAAAAGAACAACCTCCTCGATTCCGTCAACTAAGACACTTAGGACGCTGAAAGCTAATTCAGATTTAGGTATAGCAGATCCCTTTGCCAGATATTTTAGCTCGAACTTTCAAAAATGTTATAATTGCGACGAGGGCTCTTCCCTTAGCTCCATTCCTAACATTTTAAATTTAGGAAATATTATATTTTCAAAGGAAGATTTCTATGCAGCCGCTAGGAGCCCTAATAACTCTTCTCAATCGGACTGTGATGGTATAACAGCACTTTTTCTAAATTCGTGTATAACATCTCTTTATGAGCCTTTACAAATACTTTTAGCCAAATCCCTTTCTGCAGGAGTATTTTTTAAAAAAGTGGAAAAATTCTACAATCACGCCAATTTTTAAAGATGGTAGGAAATGCAATATTCGTAATTATAGGGGCAATGCAAAACTAAGTAATATCTCTAAATTATTCGAGCGTATGGTCGTCAAACATATCTCCTTTGTAATTAAACCGTATATGGATCCTAGACAGCATGGCTTCTTGCCGGGCAGATCTACAGTAACCAATTTAGCGATTTTCTATAACTTTTGTATCCAGAACTTTGAGCGTCATTGTCAGGTTGATGCAGTGTATACTGACTTTTCTAAAGCCTTCGATAAGGTCAGTCAGGGGTTTAGGCTGGGGTTTCACTCTTCTTTATTAAGCTGGTTAAAATCCTATCTGTCTGATCGTTATTATCGCGTACGCATCTACAATAATTTGTCCGCGACTTATGTCCGCTTCTATTTAACTGATTTATTATTGATATAGGGAGTTGCTTCCGTTCGTCCGATTATCTATTATTTGCCGATGACCTGAAAATATTCAAATGCATTTCGTCTCAGCATAATGTACTGGTTATGCAGAAGGACTTACACAACTTGTCTGAATGGCTTGTCCAGCAATGCTTTTTCCGATCCGCTCATTTTATTTGTTATGATCGTGACTGATTGAAGGTGGGCTTTACTACTGTGTCTGCAAGACACGTATTCATCTTGAGCATCATCGAGCTTTTCTTTACACTTAATGTTCGCATTCACATTAATTTTTTGGTGTACTTCTAACTTTGATCTGAAACTCCAATCGAGCCATGCGCTGCTAACTGTGCCTACTATTGAGGCTGTTAAAAGGTTGGTGTCCATTATAGTTTGGTTTGGGGTTTGTTCTAGAATACTTTCGTATTTTTCAGGCTGTCGCTACTGTCGTATTCTTGCTTTATTTCTCTAAATGAATCTCCCAACTCTTGCACTTAGATCAGACAATTAGTGAAGTCACACTTGTCAAAGCACTATAATGCTAATCATTCATATTCGACGAAATTAATCAGAACCAGAACAAAAGTACACTGCGGTGTGGTTTAGTGCAGATACCTGACGTGTTGTGTGGATTCTAATGAACTACTGTTGGCTGCCAATTAAAAAACAATGGATAATACATATTAAGCTTTTGCTATGTTTGACTTCCAAATACTATCTATTCAAAACCGTTCTCAAGCAATATCGCTGATCTTGCGCCTCGTACAATATATCAGCTTACCGCCGCGAACCATTGCCTTCAGAGTGCTGACAGAACAATTTACTGTATGAGCATTATGATTGCAAGAGTTAGAAAATTGCAAATATATATGTATATACTTAGTTAACATTGAAAACCCTCTTATAATCTCGGAAATCGATAGGTGCTTACATTTCAACTTCAGGTATCACAAGTAAGACTGCTCTTGTCGGGAAGATACATGCTACACTATATATAAGGCCAAGGTGACGTCATAAAGTTTTGAATTCCTATTTCGAATGGATTTTGCGAAAAGTGTAAAAGACATCTTAAATAAATTTTCATTTTTATATATCCTATTTGGATACAAAATTTGAACCGAAATTTCAGACAATAATTCATTGGATGGAAAGAAAGGATGGATTTTCTTCATCTCTTGTTGCACATTTGCAACACTTTTCGAAGTGAAGGGTATTGTTGTTGTTCTTCATAGTTCTTGCTAAGTTGCACAGCTGTTACAAGAACATCATTATAGTGAAGCTAAAACAAACTTCAAATATATTATTTTTGTGCTTGTGACGTATATTAATTTATTTAGGAAAATTTAGATACAGTTAATAAATTGACATAAAAAATCTGAAAATGCCTTGCAAACGTTTTGAAAATTATAATTCCGATTTAACAATGCTAAAAATTAAAATTAAGATATCGCAATATTCACAAATAACTATTTTTATTCTTATTTGTTTCAAAATAGTCATATATGTATCTTTCTATTTTACAGCTCTTGCCCTTTGCGACTGCTCATTGTTACAACAGAAACGTCGGAACTTGGCCCGACGACACTGCTCTCCTCGAGAAACATCATCATATTTCGCAAAAATGTCTCGTATCAGCTGCAATGAAATCCATAATTTAATGCAAAACTTAAAAAACGCCATTAAGCCTTCGGTTCGATTATGAATACAAAGAATTTCAACAAGTTATTTTGTATTTCGATGAAATTTTTTGGGAAATCAATCAAGGACATCCATTAGATTTTTTACCTTGGCTTTTGCCTTTTTACATTTATCACACGCAAAAAATATGTCATTGGTCTTCCACTATTCGCAAATTTATTTTGGAGCGGGTAATTAATGAAAGAGAGTTGCATATCGATATATGTAGATGAACCAGACATTGATTTTACAGATGCGCACTTGAAGAGTCTTATAGAAAATAAAAACGTGTCACGTAATACAATAATTTTTATGCTAGAAGATTTTATAGGTGGTCACTCAGCTGTTGGAAACTTAGTTATGCTAGCTCTTGCTTACGTAGCCAAGGATCCTGTTATAAGAAAAAAAATTCAATGCGAAATCGATTGTGTATCAGAAAGCAGTCAACGAACTATTACCTTACATGATATGGATAAAATGCCTTATACCATGGCTACCATACTGGAAGTCTTACGATACTCATCGTCACCTATTATTCCGCATGTAGCCACAGAAGATACATCGATATTAGGTTATGGCGTTACTAGCGGCAGTATTGTTTTTATAAATAATTATGTGCTCAACATGAGCCATAAGTACTGGAAGGATCCTGATAGATTTCAAAGGTTTTTAGAAGTGACTAGCAGTGTGTCAATGCCACCAAAATGCCATGACAAAAGGAGATGCTCGGAAGAGTCTGATTCAGGTATTGAGTTTGAAAAAGATGCAAGAATACACAATTCTTCTGTTCAACATCGATATATATAAGCTAAATAAACAAAAAATGAGAGAAAACTATAAGCCAAAAAAATTGCAACTTAAAAAAAATATTCCCCATCTTTTGCCTTTTAGTTTTAGAAAGCGCACATGCATTGGACAAAATTTAGTGCGTGGATTTGGATTTGTTTTGTTAGCCAATATAATACAAAACTACAATATAAATAGTGTTGATCTTTCAACAATTTAAATAAAACCTGCTCTCGTAGCTTTACCTACAATTTGCCTTCCGTTAGTATTAATGGTTGAAACACGTATATAATATTCAACATACATACATACATACATTTAATTTAAATTGAATTATTTTAGTAAGGTAGTGCAATTGTATTTGTTTTAATGCCTTTCTGTTTTTGCTCACACATTTAAAGTATTGCATTAAGAATTAAAGAAGCACATTAAATTATTAAGGATTATAAATAGCTTATTAGGGATTACCATGATTCACGTAAAGCTTAAAAGCATATTCTATAAATATATATTCTAAATATTGTTCGATATATGTATGTCTAACATATATATATTTATTAAAATAAATAATATGTATAAGCGAATGTGAAATATCTGCTCTTGTATTTTTAAGGGACGACAATTGAAGAATATATCTTATCCTATACGTATTTTAAGTCTATATTTTCAATTTTTAAGTTCTCTTTATGTACATAAGTAGTTACATAAAGAGTTTTTCGAAAGACTGAAAACGCGTTTTATATGCTTCTTTGAATTCTATCAACAGCATTGCAATTGCGATTGTATTGTTTTCTTTGCTGCTATTTTAATTGGGTTTTTGTCATTAAGACTTAAGTATTGGTGTTGCTGTTGGGTAGAGGCGGCGGCGAGTAGTGTGGTCTGTAGCGACTTCGAACCCTACCGAGGGAACTATTTATTTTTTTTTGGCTAGTGTGGCTGTTGGGTAGAGTCGGCGGCGGAGGGTATAATGTAATTGTGCAAATGTATGTTACAGGAAGAAGGAAGCATCTCCGACCTCATAAAAAATATATATTCTTGATCAGCATCAGTAGCCGAGTCGATCTAGCCATGTCCGTCTGTCTGACCGTCCGTCCGTATGATCGCACGGATCTGAGAGCCTATAAGAGCTAAAGACTTGAAATTTTAGCTGTAGGTCCTCCTGGTGCTCGCGCAGGTCGAGTTTGTTTCCGATATTCGATAACTTGCCCCGTTTCCAATAGCTATCCTCACCTCCCCGCTACTACCACATAGCTATAAATCAGGTAAAAACACCAATTTATGCTGACGACAAGTTTGAAAATATACAAATATTCGATGGTACAATAAGATGTACTGTAGAAAATTTAATCAAGATCGGTTAAGAAAACACAGAAATTATTAAAGAAAATGTGTTTTGACTTTTCTCCCATCGCCGGCAACAAGCGCAAATTGCAAGAATTTCTGTATACATGTACACACACATTCATGCGCGTCTGCTTTGAATTCTATTAACAGCATTGCAATTGCGGTTGTATTGTTTCCTGTGCTGCTATTTTAATTCGTTTTTGTCTCACCAAGACTCATTGATTGGTGTGGCTGTTGTGTAGAGGCGGCGGCAAGTAGTGCGGTCTGTTGCGAGTTCGAACCCTATGGAGGAAACTCATTGATTAGTGTGGTGGCTGTTCAGTAGAGGCGGCGGCAAGTAGTGCGGTTAGTGGCGAGTTCGAACCCAGCATATGGAACTTTTTTTTTCATTTTTATTAAAAGCTGCATTTGGTGTTGGAACAAGAGGGTTCAGGGTATCCCCTAGTCGGGAGCTCCCGACTAGAATCTCTTACTTGTTTTTTTTTAAATTTATCTTTATTACTACTAAAGTAAGCGAGCGCGAGATTTTTTTTGTGTTGAAATAAGAGGGTTCAGGGTATCCTCTAGTCGGGACCTCCCGACTAGAACCTCTTACTTGTTTTGTTTACTGTAGGGACCTATTTTACTTAAAAAAAAGTGTGACGCGGAGTCACTGTGAGTCCCGCGCCCAAACATAAATATAAAGGAAAAGAATAAATTGTTAATAATCAAACATAAATATAAGGGAAAGGAATGAAATAATGAATGAATGGAATAAATAATTAATAATCATATTATGTCATAGGCTAAGCATAAAAGAAAATGAAATAATTCATAATCATAATTTGTCATAGGCTAAGTATAATGAGAATACAATGAAGTCACTTATCAGTTAAGGGTATGCGTACTAAATTAATAGAGCCCGATTGCAAGCGCAATCGAATTACAACACAGTTGAGATTTTTAGGAGTTAAAGAGAGCAAATGCTTGCGCGAGAGTTTTCGCCGGAGAACGAAAAGGGCGAAAAGGGGTCGTGAGCTGCTGCCGCCGATCAGCAGCTTCACTTTGGAACCGGCAAGCGTGAGTATCGGACGTGCATACTTAACGAAGGACAGAGTTTAGGGAACGCAAGTTAGCTGCCAGGTTAGGTAGGAACAGCCTAGAATTGACGGTGCAGCAAGTTTAGGAAAGTTAATAAAGCAAATAAAACGGAAGTGAACTTACACGAAATAAAACAGTGTTTGCGTTGTGTGTGTAGCAATTGTGCGTTTGTAGGCTTTCGTCTTGCAGCGGAGCGATTCCAGCAGCACCCATCACGCAGGCCAACTCTAACCTAACCGCAGCGGAGCGATCCCGGCGGCTTCCCCTTTTCTTTAACAGAATTAGCAACCACTCTGCGGCAGAGTCATCCCGACGGCTCCATACCCCCCTTTTCAACTTCGCGTCTCGGCAAACTACAAATTTCTTGTAGAGTGGACCTGGGTAAGACTGAGTTATCACCCCGGCCAAGAAGCTACTTTACAAGTGGCGCTCGAGCAGGGACTCTAGGCGTGAAGGGGCGTGGCACCACAGGGGTGTCAGCGACAAAGGCACACGTGCAGGCAGACAAGTGGGGACAACTAGACAAAGCAAAGACTCGAAAACTAACGGACAGCCATAAAACGTCTCGCTGAGCGAGCGAGTTTGCGGCGAGCGTGCTAGCGTGTGTGCACACATACAGGCACACGCTCACACGCATAAGCCGAGAGTCGGCAGAGCGCGCGTCAACGGGACAGCTGCGAAGGCCCACCGTGAGGCGAATCGCTCGGTACGCGTCGAAATTTGAAGTGAAGGGAAAAGTAAGCGCGACGGAACAAAAAAATGTGAACAATAAAGTGGATTCGGCCCAATATGAACATTGGAGCTGTAGTGGCGAATAATTTTTTTGGTGACCAATCTAAGTGGAAAAAAAAAAAATAAAAATTTAAATATGGTGAACATTGCAGGCAAAGCGAGCAGCCAGAGTGAACATTTTTCTTATGTTTTTTTTTATGTGCTTACCGGTGCAAAACATAATGACAATTAATGAAAACTAATAATAATTAATCAACAACCGAGTGAAAGTGACCCCAGTGGAGTGACATAGAACCACGGTAAAAGAGTGGACGCGTGTAGCAGGAAGGTACCGTAGGACGAGGCCGGTACGCAGCGTCACTTGTTAGAGTGGTCAACTAAAAGTGCGACTGTTTTTTTGTGCGGATAAAATAAAGTCGAATAAAATTCATTGAAATAAAATAATTAAAATAAAATTAATAAAAATTAAAAATAATTAAAATAAAATTAATTAAAGTTAAAATTAATTAAAATAATATTAATTAAAATAAAATTAATAAAAATTAAAAATAATTAAAATAAAAATAATTAAAATAAAATTAAAAATATTTGTTTGGCTGGCTCGAGGTCCGTGTTGTTAAAACAAACAATGAAAACAATTTTATTTAATATTTGCTTCCGATATATTTCGGTTGCACATCGGCAAACCGTCTTCAGGGCACTAACACCAAGATACAAAAACAATTAACAATTATAATACAATAAATTAAACATTATTTCGATCATTTTACATACATTGTTTTACACGTCTGCGCTTTTTGACGTGGAGATTGTTACTGAGGTTGTTTGGCTGTTTAAGAGGTGTCTGTACAAGTGAGCGCAATTTTCTGTGTCTGTCTTGTAGTTTAGTCGTTTGTTGGTTGGTGTGTTAATTATGTGTAGCATTTCCAATGTGTGTCGCTTGTTATAGTGTTGTTCTTGTTGTAAGATTGTTGTTTCATCAAAATTTGGTGTGTGGTTGCTTTTTATACAATGGGTCATAAGTGCTGTTTTCTGTATATTATTTTGATGTCTTAGTTTGAAGTCCGATTTATGTTGACTAATCCTTGTTTTTAGCTTCGATTTTGTTGTACCTATGTAGACACTATTGCACTTGTTGTTGTTTTCCCCGCCACATGGTATTTGGTAAACGACGTTGCTTTTGTCGATCATCGGGATTTTTGACTTTATCTTGTCAAAGAATTTTTGTAATGTTCGTCGGTTTGTGTGCCATTTTGATATCTTGTTTGTTATAACAGTCTGAGTTTGTGAGGCGTTCTGATAGTCGTGGTACATATATTAGTGATTTGTATATTTTAGCAGGTTCTGTTGGCTTTTTTCTTTCGATTTGTCGTCTTTTTAATAATGTTTTGATTATATTTGGGGGGAAGTCATTTGTGGTCAAGAGTTTTTTGATTTCATGTTCAATTTCTTTGTGGTATATTGTGTCCGATATGTTCATCATTCTATTCATACAGCCTAGTGCTGTATTGATTATCATACACTTTGGGTGGTTTGAATTGTAGTTGAGTATTCGTCCGGAGGCTATGGGTTTTCTATACCACTTTATTTTGAGTGCGTTGTCCATTCTGCTTACAATAGAGTCTAAAAATGGTAATTTCCCGTCCTTTTCTAATTCCATGGTAAATTTAATCTGTTTGTGGAAGGAATTCAATTCTTTTAGAATTTTCTCTACTTCTATTTTGTTAGTTATGGCAAAAAGGTCATCTACATATTTGGTCAAGAGTCTTGGTTTTATTTTTAATTTATCTGTAATCTTGTCCAACAGTTCCTCCATTAATATATCTGCGATTACTGGGGAAGCCGGTGATCCCATTGGCATTCCTTTTAGTTGTGTGTATATTTTGTCTTCGTATTTGAAATATCTGTTTTCCTGAATGCAAAATCTAACTATGTCCATAAATAGTTGTTTCGGTATACTCGTGTGCTCTTGTAATTTGGTCCATTTTTGTCTTATTGTGTCAAGTGCTAATTCTATTGGTATGCTAGGAAATAAGGATACTACGTCAAAAGATACTAATGTTTCTTCTTCTCTAATATGGGAAATTAATATTGGGAAATAAATATGGGAAATTTAAAATTTTTGTTAAAATGTAGAAAATCAAATTTAATACCTAACTTCATCAAAAACTTGACACAGCATTTGACAATACTGACCACTGACAATAAAACCCACCCTGACATAACAAGAGCATTGACTAGACACACACATTTTTACCATACCAAAATATTAAACTTACTTATAAAACACAAACACAACCTATTACAAGAACAAGCAAAACATATGGAAAAAGCAAAAACAAACATAGAACAACTGATGACCACAGATGACGCAAAAGCGTTTTTTGAGAGCGAGAGAAATATAGAAAACAAAATA